AAAACTGTTTCTGCCGCCATTTCACCTTTGCTTTTCCAAGTAAGCCCAATTGATAAAACTCACTGTGATTCTGTATTGATTCATAACTAAAAGCGGTTTTAACAATTAATGGGCCAGCAGTAGCGGCAAATAAAGACAAAACAATTGCGGATGAAACAGTTGCCAATAAACTTAGATATGAAAACAAAAACAACAAATAATCTAAATCTTCTCAAGTAAAATCCAATCTTCCAGTGCAAATTTCAAAGCAATAATTCGGGCTCGTTCTACTTCTTTTCTATCGCTGTTCGCGGGACTTCGTTCCTCTGGGATCCTTTGTCAACGGGTATCAAAATTTTCACAGCCGCTACAACAACTAGGATGAATTGTTAATTTTGATTTGATTCTATGTGTGTCTAACTGTCTAGGCTGAGGAAGAAAGCCGCAGTGCTTTCGAAAGCTACCATAAATAAAAAGTACCTGGTGTTTCGAATATTCGTCCTAAACATGATTCCTTCCCAGGTGAATAACAATATTTATCATTATATCATCTTGTGGTTGTCTGGCATCTCTGCTTGCCGTCACGCCAGGGCAGACCGACTTCGTAGCTGTCACCCACTCGCCTTGTCGTTTCCTCCAGGATCTTCATTGTCTTCACATCTTCTGGGGAGAGCTCATCTCCGGCGAGCTTGGTCCCGAAGGCCTCTGTACTCCACCAGTCCTGGAGAGTGTCGGTGAGTTCTTGGTCTGCTTTCTGGAGAAACATCACTTCTTTGGGTCCGCCTGGCTTGCAACCGAAGACACTCGCGGTCAGCGACCATCCGAAGGCGGTCCTGATGGCTGTTGGCTGCCCACGTTGACCTACCCTGGCCTCCGTCTGAAGTACTGCTTCCAAGCAGTTGGCGCCCAACAGGAGCTCCACTTCTCCAGCTGTGCATTCTGGAATGCTGAGACCCTGCAGGTGCTTCCACTCGTGTCTGTTCCTGGCACTAACTGTAGGCGTCCTCACATTAACTCCCGCAACAGAGTAGGCTTCTGGGACGCAGATCATCTAGGAGCGGTCTTCCGTCTCTGCCAGGGGACTCACTGTCAGCTGCAGGCCCATGTCGTCCCCTATCTCCCTGTGTGTCCAAGTGCACAGATGACGTCACACGAAGGGGCGGAGTCGGGGGCGGAGCCTAGCGCAACGGCCGGCATATTTGAATTTGTTTTATAAGAATGTAATCTATATTTTGGCTTTCAGTCAATTGTTATCGATAGTTTTATGAACGGTTAGCTGTAATATAAGTGATTTTTAAATAAAAAAAAAACACATATTCTGCTTCCAATTTCGATTTGAGTCCGACCCGCGCCTAGATTCGAGCGCGCGACCTTTGGATCACTGTGCAAGCATCCTAACCACTACACTACCGCGGCGGCGCAGCGGCCGGCGGAAGGGAGGCTGCGGAGGCATGGGGGCTTTTTTACGCATTTTCGGAAAAACTAATGGGTTTAGTGAAAAACTGCTCTTAGATAATTCAAAGAAAAATGTCTCGTCTTTCCGATGATGCACTTAGTTGTGTGCTAGCTCCAACAGAGTTTGTTCTACAGCGCTTCAAAAATCGCCCATTTACATGGGACTCAAACGGGGCTTCAAGACTTGCCCCCAGATGACGTCACAAGCTGACGTCACGATCAGGTAGAATCGCCGGACGACCCTACCTGGTGTATAGGGCCTTGGTCAGCTGTACACGCTGTGACGCCTTCGACTTAACGTTGCGCAGACGGAATGACTGCGGTTGTCCGGTGATGTTCAGCTCTCGCAGTGCGGATGCGCAGCAGAGTGATGTTTGTGCACCAGGTTCCAGCAGAGCAAGAGCATCCCTTTTCTTGCCGTTTGCTCCATGGATACGGACGGGTACCACTTGCAGTAGGACCGTTGGCGACGCCCTGTCTTCGTTGGTGAATGAGGCGACAGTGTGCTGACTTGCTTCTGACTGAGCAGGCCGTTCCGTAGATGCTGTAGTATCTGGTCCTTGCCCGAGCCGCCTCAGCCTCTTTTTTCAGCCTCCGATTTTTTCCATGCAACGCCCATAGGGCTAATGTTAAAATGCCAAAATTAAAGGGGGCACGGTACCCCGGTGCCCTCCCCGTTCCGCCGCCTATGCAGCACACGCACAACGTGCCGCACCGGCTGCACAAACATGGCGCATTTCCAAGTTCCAACGCATTCTATCGCCTCCATATAATAAAACTGACGTTCTCGGTCCGCTCTGCACGGGCATCACGTTCACCTATTTTGGCTGAAGCAAGGTCGACCCCCCACTGACGAGTTTTCTCGAGAGGACCACCGCTTGCGTACTCACAACGGTGTCCCTTTAGACGAGAAAAACTAGTTAGCTGAAAAAAAATATCGCTGCTTCGTGTTGACGCGCACGCAGTCCTCTGCCGACTGAAACCCGGGTGTGTTTGGCTCCTGCGAGTCCCCCCCCCCCCCCCACCTCTACCTTCCCCGCGGCCAGCGCCGGCCTCCTGCCCTTCTGCCCCGCGTCTCATCTCCCCTTTTTCCTAGTCCCCCCACCCACCCCCTCCCTCCCTCACCGCGCGTCGCTGTCGGGCCCTTAGCAGGGGTCGGCGACTCGGCAACCTACGACCCGGCGGGCCGGATCCGGCCCGCGGCTGGCATCAATAATTCCGCGGCTCCTGAGCGTGATTGTAACAAATTGTGACCATGCTCTGGCCCGCCGGCTGCTTCCAAATCACATATCTGGCCCCCACCCAAAAAAAGGTTGCCGACCCCTGCCTTAGCGTCTTTGCCGCTAAGGTGGCTATTTCCCGTTATTGAGACTTTTCTTTGTATTTGAAGAAATTCCTTCAGATTCGCAAAAAAACATCGCAAGAATTAGCGACTATTATTGATAAATCTCAACAATTTTTCTCTTGTCTCAAGAATTTGGCAGCTGAAGAAAACAAAGCGGTCGACAAAAACACCACTTTCTCCGACTGCCAATAAGAGCGATATTCGGTTATGAATTGGTAGGGAAACCGACCTTATAGGCACAGAGCTGCTTCTGACCGGATCAGAAGCACTCTAGGGAGAAAGTGGAGAAATGGTAGAAAACTGTCATCACTAAATTGTTGCTCGTGCTGTAGTTAGTCGATGACATAGGTGTATGGATATAACAATGCAGAATGCTGGCTTTGCTAATCTTAGAATTTCTTCCATGATATTTTCTTTCCTTTGTGATTTTCGCTCGTTTATTTTCCTCTGACTAGGGTCAGATGGTCAGAGATTTTATCGACCTCTGAAACCGGGTCTAGATACTGCCCACTGGAAGAAAATTGCCTTTTCACAAAACCGGCCCATACCTCCCGAGTCTCCCCTACGTGTCATGGCACTCGGTGAGCTAAGCTTATCCTGCAAGGTTAAATCAAATCGATGCAATACCTAGGTTTTAAGAACATAAATGCACTTTCAGTGCTATTTTGACGTTGTTCCGACTTTCGTGACCTGGTGACCTGACCCGAGGTCAGTTGGACTCAACATTCTCAGGAATTGTGTCAAAAAGATGTTCTATAAAGTGTCTAAAATTTCAAATTGTCTGGCGCTTTGTGCTAGCTATGTACCATGCTTAGGCTATCTGCGAAAAACTTTGGTATTCCAATGCAACTATGTAAATTATTTCAATTTTACTGTCACATTTTACAGATTATTGTGACCTAGTGACCTGACCTGAAATGACTGGGACTTGAAATTTTCAGGGGAGGTTTCAAAAAATTTCCCCGAGAAAAAGAACTTGAGGAGTTGGGGGAGGGGGGGGGGTCGATGCAGCCCCCCCGTCGGTGTGCCGGTTAACCCGCGCCCCACTGGGGGGGGGGGGGGGGCTATTCATAGCCCCCTCCCGTTTTTCCGCAATAACTTCCAAACCGCTTGACATATCAACGCCAAACCTTCAGTACCTTAGGCTGCATCAATTTGACACCTTGTGTCAAAATATGAACTTCGTACCTACTATAGATCGGCCGGAAATGACGTCAGAGTGACGTCATGTTCGGCCGATTTCGACGCAAAACATTGAACCACGGCAATCGCTCCCAAGAGCTCAGTTTTTAAGCTAGATCCAATTTCTTTGCATGAGAGGACTCAGAATAGACTGCGCTATCAAACTGCTATCTCGGATTTTCGAAATTTTGAAAATTTCGAAAATTTAATAAAATATCCAAAATTTATATTTTTACATTTTTTTTTCCAAAAAGTTTTTGACTTTTCAAAAACCGGAATATATGTGATAGAACGCATTATTATGACTAACTCTACCAAGTTTTAGCTTAATATCTTCAAAAATGGCCAAGTTTTACGCATTATTGCAAAAAATTCACAATTATTAATTTTTTTCAAATTAATTTTTCAGCACGTATTTGACATCGTACGCCAATATAAATAGCACCATCGTGTTCCTGAGCTCAAACTGCATCCAATAGACACCTTTTTTGTTGAAAAATTTTAACTTCAAAATCTGACCTTTTTTGACCTGAAAGTGGCCTAACATAAGCTAAATTCGACTCAAAATGACCTCGAATGACACAGACGACATCAAATTCGAAATCTCTGACCTAAATGGACCATAAAACATGTGTCACGTGACCGACGCATGATATAATATTTTCGTGACCTGTGATGACCTGACCTTGACCTGAAAATCAAAGTACAAGTTTGGTACCCTCAGGGTAACTAAAGCATCTGTTCCCGAGTGTGTGATCCAAAAATGAGCCTGATCTGACTTGTAAGACGGCGGGCAGAGCCCAAAACGTGAACAAGGCAAAATGCTAATAATTTTTACTTTGACCTAACCTGTGATGTCATCGGTGACGTCGAGGTCAATGAAATTAGGTTTCGTTCGACAGTTTTTCCGGGGCTATCAGACGCCGTTTGAATTTTGACGATCAGCCCAGTAGTTTCAGAGTTAGGAGGGGGGCTATGAATAGCCCCCCCCCCCCCCCCAGTAGGTAGGGCGTGTTAAACGCAGACGGTCGGCGCGTACCTGTTCGGTGAAGAGCAGTGTGATGCGCTCGAACATCTGGTTGCCGTTGAGCGCCGTGATGGCCATGTAGAGGAAGAGACCGCTGAGCACCGGCGGCGGGATGTACGACAGCGGGTAGGGCAGCAGCAGCAGCGACAGCCCGATCAGAAGGTGAGACAGGATACCCGTCAGCCGCGTCTCCCGCACTCTGACGATTCTGGCGAGCGAACCAAGAGGTCAGCGTCAGTTTCATATAAATAATTCTTAGCGCTAAGTGACACTCAGGAACGCCAATTGCGCTGGATGAGATGCAAAGCAGCCTGGACAAGTGGACAATGTTCTTTCAGCCGTGAAAGTCAGTTCATGTGTGAAAGTCATGATCTGACCGGAAACGATCATGCTTCATATCAGGATATCAGATTTCTATCGTGGAGCTGATCATTTCTAGCAGGGGGCGTCGAAGTCTAGTAGGAAAATCTGGCAATCCCCGGCGTGACGTAACGTCGGGGATGACCGACGGGCGACGGCACCTTGCACTGAAAGATACGGGGAACGACTTTTTTTGAAAAATGATTAAAAATACTTTTGTGCTGTTATGACACATAAAACGCTTGTCAGCATGTTTCTCATCATGTGATAAAACCATATCCGTGGTCGAAAATAGCCGAGCCCCTCCCAATTTCCAACCATCGACCTAATAAGCAAAGGATGTAAGCGTAATCCTTAAGGGCGACTTTCCGTTACATATCCGTACATATGCATCCTTATGGAAATCGGTAGTGTGACGATTGGTGACGCGCGCGACATCTGTGCGGCGACTGCAGCGACACCTGGTGGCTGCTTTTCTGCTGTATGTAGGTATTGTGGTTTTACCAGATATGGTTCCTACTGCTACACCACTATGTTGACCCAATACTAGAAAGTTATTTTGCTACTAAAAGGCAAGCAAATTGAAACTTTATTTATAAAATTGCTTATAAATGATAACGAAATAATAATAAAGAAATTTTGATGGAACAATTATTGTAATATTCAACCGTGAAGCTATATTCTGGTAGGTTTAGTTGAAATTAGTCCGTGCAACCTTATTTAGGGCCTTGATTTCTAGGTGTTTTCATCGCTCTAGCATAATCAATCAACATTCAAAAGTAACTGTCGCAAACTGTTTAGGACTTCTCATGGCCTAAGATAACCTCAGGGCACAGGGGGTTGCAATTTTCCGATTCAGCAGCAATGCATGTCAGCTTAGGCGTTAACCCGCGCCCCGTAGGTTGTTTCTGTAGATATGTTACAGTTTGTATGCGAAATTCGTTAGTTTGCAACGCAACTAGCTGCGTTGCAAACTACCTGACCGGCCAGGTAGTTTGCAACGAAACTAGTTCCGTTGCAAACTAACTGACCGTCCAGGTAGTTTGCAAACAAACTAGTTAGGATGCAAACTACCTAGGTACGTTGCAAACTACCTAGTTACTTTGCAACGGAACTAGTTGTAATGCGAAATCGACGAGGCAGTGGCTCTATTTGTCGGTTATATTCATCTTTTATGTAAATTTTAACAACGGTTGTTAAAAAAAAGCTGTGTTTTTCTAACGGGTCACACTAGACATACGAGTAGGTCGGGCATGGTCACATTTATGGATGAAACAGTGAATAACCAGATTCGACTACATAATGTGACGATCACTGGCGGATCCAGAGCAGGGGCAGTTCCGGGGGGCATTTTGTGATTTTGATTTTTTTTTGCGGCAAACACTAACACCAGTCACCACCGCCGCCGCACAGAACAGAACTGAACTGTATCGTCCCATTGTCCCGTGTTCCGGGGTAAGCGTGCGATCAAGAATTTGTCTCACCGGCCGACTCCTACTCGACTCGCCTAGCCAGGTGACCTAGCGGTGCCGGGTCATTCGGTAACAGCGCAATGATCAAAGGGCAGGTCGCGTCACAGACTGATCGGTTGTGGAGGTAGGAGCTCGTCAGCGGCCTGGTTCTTGAATATTCCGAAATCGGCAGCAGAACCTTTACTTTCCGCTTATGTCTACGCATTTATAGTGATCACTGGCGATTCCAGAAAGATGGTCTTAACCCGTGCATGACTGGGATATTTTCAAAATTCAACTTTAAAGTACTCATCTGAAGCGTCTCGTCGCGTTCTTTCGTTTGCCGCCTCGTGCGTTTCGCTGCGCCTACTGGTTCTCGAGTTATCGGCTGGGGGCGTTTAACGCCCCCCCCCCCCCCCAGCAAACGGTGGATGGCGAAATACCCCAGCAACTGCCGGGTTAAGCCCGGTTCTGACTGCCGTTTTTCGATCGTTTGGTGGATCGTATGGTGTAGTGATGTCAATCGGTTACCAAAATTTCGGTATACCGATACCGAACCAATACCGATTCGGTATTCGGTATTTTATACCAAAAGCATTTGGTATTTTGTCGGTATTATTAAAGTCAACTACTGTCATAAAAAAATTGAAAACATTTTTTATAAACCTTCTGAACTCAAATTTGATTTGCTAAATGACATTGGATGAAGAAAAAGGACAATCATGACACATTTCTCCCAAATGCATGTGATGTCATAAGAAATGGGCAAACACGTTAACTGTAACATCAAACACATCAGTCTACCAATGTTAAATGGCAAGTTATCAGTGCTAGCAAATTCCAATACCATGAGGATCATCATCTTACAAAAAAAAAAAACTAATGTGCAAGACATAAACATGTATCAATGTTTAACTCACTGTATACTGGAAAACATACTTCAACTACCTTACTCAAAAATTTCCCAAGCATTCATTACTAACAAATTTGACTTTGTTTTGATGAGTCTGTGATTGATCTTGACCTTGTCTTGCTCTCCATTTCACTGCAATGCAGTTACATTATCCAAAAGCCAAAACCCTGTTTTTTATAGCACTAGCTTCACCATTATCATCTAATATTGAAGGCAGCATTTATCACTTTATCATCACCCCACAAATTCTCAACTTCGCTCAACTGCAAAAAGATCCTGTGGAAAATTTATTTTCTTTAATTAGTGTTCTCTTTCCTGCTCTCCTCAACAGATAGAAATCGCTAGCAATGTAATCAAAAGCATTCCTAAAATATAATTGGGTCTTGGCTTGATTCGCAAATAGCAGTTTAAAAACTGAACACAACTAAGAACTTGATAATGTCGCAGCTGCGCCAAAACCCGATGTACCTCAATAGCTAATTAAAAATGATTGAGCAAATTTGTTTTTCTGGTTCTTCATTTTTTATCAATAACAGCCTACAATCTTTCTTAAATTAATTTTAAGATGCCAAAATATGAACATCATATTAATAACTTAAGTGTTCTTAAGCAAAAAAGAAAAAAACTTTGTTTTATGCAGTTCCGTGCGTTTCGTGCCTAAATGCAAATGGCCGCCGCATGCAAGGCTGCCATTGTGGAAGGGATGCCACGTGACACGTGTCAATGATTCTGTAAAATTATGGACATTTTACTTAGCTTTCATCACGATATCATTATTCATTACAGTGGTGTCTGCTATCTATCAGTGTGCCTCGTAAGTAATTATTTATCAAGATTTGTTGTGTTAAACATTTGTTTATGATGAAAAATTGGCTGCGTCACTATCGTCACCATCGCTACTTGAGTTGAACTGTAGGTATCATGGATTTTGTTTACATTAATGGTATAGCCCAGCCCATCATTGTTATTTGGTTACCATTTTTGGATCATGATAACACACGTAACCCTGCCTTGACTGGACCTGAATTAAGTGACTTGAATTGAAACTTGAAAGGACGTTTGATGGTTCAGGCATGGATGAGATTCAGGGTTCAAGTTCTTGTCCTATATCACCTCATGCAGATGACTTGAATCCACATCCCAGTTAAGTTACTGACCTGAATTTTTGTTCATAGTTACACAATACAGTTATTTTTTGCAGTGCAAATAATTTAGAGATTTCCTGACTTGTTTTGCTTGCCTTATTTAAAAGTATTACCTTTCAATGCTTATCATTTGTTTTGAAAAAGTTTGAAGCATTTGTTTGATGATTCCCTGAATTCGGTACCTAGTCGGTATTTCACCCTATTTCTGCAAATCGGTTCGGTTTTGGTATACTCTCAGTGGTTTTGGTCGGTATCGGTTTGGTATTGGTTTCCAAAATTTCTGAAATTGACATCACTAGTATGGTGATCGTATCGTGATCGTATGGTGATGGGATGAGGATCGGCACGCCCGTTTCCCGATCGCCGCGATGGTAATCGTATGTGTGCAGTGAGAACCGGGGGTTAGCTGAGCGGTGAACGAGGGTGACTGGTTGAAAGTCCAATAATCACAGCGCGCGTTAGACGACGTCCAAAAGAGGCGACAGAACTCTCCGGACACCCTGTTAGCGCACCGGGAGATCACTCCGGTTTCGTTCATACGGTCACCATTTCTCCCACGGGGACGCATCTGAATCCTTAAAGACCAGCGGCCGGCGGCCAGCTTGAAAAATAAACCGCCGAGAAGCACGAGTGTGGCCGTATCATGACCACCGGCATCGCCATCATGTCGGTCTGTGTTTGTGTTAGGCACTTTTCGGAGCGATAAAAGAAGAAAGTAAATATAGGTACAGTTGTCATTAAGTCTTTGACAGTGGATAGTAGAAGTTATAACGCTTGCCTACTAACTTATGACATAACTTGAAATTTGTAAGATGCAATGTTAGCTTTTCAGAACAAAAACAAGATGTGTGAAAAATACCTTATTTGTAATCACCGGAAGCGAATCTTGCCGTGGGGCCACTGGTTAAAAGCAACTGAAAAGTGATAGCACGGATTGACTTCAGTTCACTTTCCGGAGTCGGAGTCGATGCAGCTGGACCGACTCCGACTCCGACTCCTGGCTGCTTGCCACGACTCCAGGCGACTCCGACTCCGACTCCGACTCTAAAACCCTGATATTTTCCACGTGCACTAAAAAGCAGTAATCTATCCAGACGCACTTTCAACTGACAGCGCACATATTGTCCCATTTTTTAGTGAACACCCTAGGTGACCATATATTCATAGTGTGTTATCGGATTCGTCAATTCGAAACGTGGAGATGCGGTCATTCTTTGCATACGACACGGCGCTGGTACGGTTAACTGCCGCCGCGCGTTCCGAGCAGCCGACTTTACGGTGTGGCGTATTTAGATCACCAACAGCTATCGGATATTTACGGATAACAGTTATGTCGGCGTGTTTTTGTTATTGGTTTTCTAATGTTTCGTCGTAATGCGAGGTGGATATGCTCTGGCCTCTGGCGTCGGCACAAGCGGCGCGTAAAGTGACGCACTTGCTCCTTCGGGTTCGGTGTGGGGGTGTGAGCTGGTCACCTCACAGAGTCTGGTCGTGTGGGCACATGCTACAGGCAAATACAAACCCGTTACCACACGACAGACTTTCGAATGAGCAGAGAGTCGGAGATAAAATGGCTTACCACCATTTGCGCTTACATTTCGTAGACATGTCCCTGCTCGACGCGCTCCTCGACGTCGGCCAGGCAGCGCACGTGCAGCGGAGAGTGCGGGATCGCTGCGTGCATCCAGGGCAGGCCGAGCACCGAGAGCAGGCCGTTCAGCAGCGCCACCACCAGCAGATCCAGGTGGTAGGCAGGGCCCTTCTTCAGCCTGCGGGCAGCGGCAGCCGCGCGGCGTCAGCGTCAGCGGCGCAGTGCGCTCCCCAGCCGGCAGACAGTGCGCTCCCCAGCCGGCAGACAGTGCGCTCCCCAGCCGGCAGCCGGCCGCCACAGTGCCAGCGTAGGCAAACAAACAACATTCTTACCGCGTCTGATTGCGTGCTAGGCAATGCGTAACAATAATACACATTAGACAAACTGAGGAATCGAAAACTTTTTTTTTCTAAGATAGTACGTTACCCATGATCAGGTAAGCAGGAGTGCCCCCTCCCACAGTCCCAGCGACGCACAGAGACCTTACTTTAACAACAGGTAACATAACCCTCGCCCATGTAGGGGGGGGGGGGTTGGTGCACCCCCCCCCCCCCGAGGTTTTTCTTAGCTACACGCCGAACCGTTTCAGATAGCCTGCTCAAATTTTCAGTACTCTATGGGGCATCCTTTGCGCAACTTTTGGTATTTTTTTGTCAAGGTCATGTCAGGTCACGGAGTTATGACGTCATAAAGGGAACAACCTCCGGCCAGATTTACGCTAAATTGTAGATTGCTTCACATTGGTATAAATGCCGACTGACCTGACATAGGGTAGCCTGGGGCAAGACGCCCAGATAATTTATTTTGCTACATAACTTTTGTCCTACATCACCTGGAAGGCCAAATTTGTGCTCAATGCGTTCTTTGGACATTTTACTTTAAATTCCACCCCTCAAATTCATTCACTCATGATCGGACTCCAAGCTAGGAAGTGATTTGTGAAGCAACTGCAAATGGGGCATTTTGCCCCAACCCCAGGGCAAAACGCCCCACGGCCCGGGGCAAGAAGCCCCATACTCTAGATTAAAGATTAAACATGCTAGTTGACCAAATCTTATATGAGAGGTCCGTTAGACCCTGGGAGGCACGGCACTGAAGTTAGCACCTTCCATCCTATCAGGTGTTCAGCTATGACACTATTGTATGAGCAGGTTTTTCACCTGCCTCATAAGGCCAAATAATAAATTATTGCCATGCAACTGTCAACCAAATACTTCCTTTGCCATCCGGTTGCTGAGAAAACTACACATAAATGCATAGAAACTTACTGTTTGCCAGCTACCGAGCATTAGGAAATGGGTAGTACGAACAACACATGAGGCAAAACGCCCCATGGGGCTTTTTGCCCCGCGACCTACTGGGGCGTTTTACCCCATCACGTACAGGGTGTCTCAAAAGTTCGCTTACAGGTACCAGCCATGCTTTTTTGTCAATAATTCTGAATCAACAAGAAATTAACAGTCGAAATTTTGCATGGGCATTGGTAACAACCTTTCTCAAGCAGCTTCATTGTTTTCAAGCGCATTCGACCCTTCATGAGCTCACAAAAAGGGTTCACCTCTGACCATGGATCAGGCATGAAAATGGAGGTCGCATACTCGGGTCGGCTGAGAAACTCTCTGCTTCACGAGTAATGGGAATGGTTAGGTCGGAAATGACATGTGCTGGGCGGTGCCTAGTAATACGCCGCACGCGAGTGTGATATTATCTTGCGCTAGGATGGTCTGACCTATTGGGCCGTTGATGGGATTTGGGAGGTCGAAAAGAGCTTTGGGTGAAGAGTGAAGTGAATGGAAGTAATGTGGATTATTGGGTGATGTTGTGAGTGTGTTTGCTTAGAAAATATATTAATTCGCTACAAGCTATTTCGGCTATTAACGTAAAATGGCAGGTTTACAAATTAAGGATTTCTTGCAGCCGTTTGACGGATCCGGCGATGTAGTGCAGTGGCTAACGAAAGTAGATGTTGTTGCGAAACTACGTAAAATCAAGAATGTCGCAGAAGTTATTCCTCTTTTCCTTGAGGGTGCCGCTTTCGCTGTGTATAATGAGATGGCAGAGGAAGAAAAGGTAAACGCGGAGTGCGTCCGACAAGCACTGACTGTCGCGTTTGCGACCAACCCCTTCCGTGCCTATGAGGAGATGTGCAGGCGAGTGTGGCGGGATGAACCGGTAGATGTGTACCTGACGGACCTCCGGCGGCTGGCGCGTCTGGCTGGAGTAACTTCCGATATTCTTTTGCTGCGTGCGTTTGTCGTGGGTCTCCCAGCAGCTGTATCAAGAGAGCTGCGTGCACTGCCAGGCGTGGAGAGGATGCCGCTCTCCGATGTTGTGGAGCGCGCTCGCTGTCTGGTGGGAGAGCTCGTCGAGCGGCCTGTGGTGACCTCTGCGGCTGCAGTGGCACGCAGAGGCGTCCCGCGTAAAGGAGCGGTTCGATGCTACGGTTGTGGGGGCCCCCATCTTCTACGGTTTTGCGATGCTGCTGTGAAGACACCACTGTGTTGCTGGAACTGCGGGTGCGAGGGCCACTTGGCCAGAGACTGCCGTGTGGGAAACGACGCGGGGAGAGCTGGTGCGCCGGCAGCTCCCCCGCAGCAGGGTTAAAGGCGTTGCCGATTGTTCCAGTGGCTGTCAATGGAAAAGAGTTCCAGGCACTACTAGACACAGGTTGCTCTCGAACTGTAATCGCCGTGTGGACAAGTGGGGCTCTTCGGCGTGGAGAACAAGAGATAGTGACCGTTGATGGCAGTCGAATTACCTGTGCTGGAACAGCGTCAGTCACGTTGAAGGTCTATGGGAATGTGATAACAGCAGATTGTGTGGTGGTGAATCAGCTGCTCAGAGGTGTAGACGTGGTGCTGGGCATGGATGTGTTGACTCGGTTGGGTGGAGTCAAAATCGATGGTGACGGAGTAAAGCTGGCATGTGGAGCTGACAGCAAAAGAGACGCGTACACTGAGGAGATCGCAGCAGTCGGGAGAGGCGTGGAAGCTGCGGCTGTGTCGTCAGTGACTGCTGAAGGCAAAGATGATGCCGACAACAGTAGCGCTTGTGAGGGAAGGAGACAATCACCCGGAAGAGACGAGATATCTGGGGCTACACCGTCGATGGTTGTTGAAGATCAGGATTTTAGCGCCTCTTTCGACGGTTGTAAATGGACCGTGAGCTGGAAGTGGAAAGATCGCGCACCAGAATTGGTAAACACAGTAGAAATATACCAGAGCACCTTGAATGAGGAAACAGAAGAAAAGTTTGAAGAGGAAATCCAGAAGTGGATTGAGGCGGGCTGGCTACAGCTACAAGAAGGCGAGCCTACTGGTGGCGTGATACCGCTGATGGCGGTCATGCAAGAGAACAAAAAGAGGGTGCGTCCAGTGTTCGACTTCAGGGAGTTGAATGAATTTGTTGAAAATCATACGAGCGGGGACATTGCAGTGTGTGACGAAAGCATCCGAAAATGGAGACAGATTCCTGAACCAGTACGCACACTGGATTTGAAATCAGCATACCTCCAGATTCATGTAGACTCTTCTCTGTGGAAATACCAGCAGGTCAGGTTCAAAGGGAAGACATATGTTCTCACGCGCCTAGGTTTTGGCCTGAACTGTTCTCCTCGAATCATGTCGAAGATCTTGAGTGAGGTGCTGGCACAGGACAGTTCAGTGCAGAGCGGGACAGATCACTTCATGGATGACATCATCGTGCAAGAGAATATAGTCACCGCAGACCAAGTGGCGGCTCATCTGCAAAAATACGGTCTCGAGACAAAACCACCAGAGGCGCTGGACGGTGGACGTGTGCTGGGTCTCCAGCTGAACCGTGACAGCCAGGAGGATCTTCAGTTCAGCAGAGGCAATGAGATCCCTGTCATGGACGCGTCTGTGAAGCTAACACGCAGAAAACTGTTCTCGATCTGTGGTCGCCTCACCGGTCACTATCCGGTCTGCGGGTGGCTCCGAGTGGCGTGCAGCTACATCAAGAGGAGAAGCGAGGGTGTGCGATGGGAGGACGATGTCGGAATGGATGTGCGTCTGATGACAGAAGAGCTTCTTGAGAAGATTCAGGAGCATGACCCTGTGCGAGGCCCATGGCTGGTGAAAAATGAAGCAAAGCACGGTCGCGTTTGGTGTGATGCGAGTAGCCTGGCGATGGGGGTCGCGCTGGAAATCAATGGAGCCATTGTAGAAGACGCAGCCTGGCTGAGGAAAACAAAAGACTACAATCACATAAACATCGCCGAACTAGATGCAGCAGTGCGTGGTGTGAATCTAAGTCTAAAGTGGGGACTGCAGTCGGTAGAAGTCATCACTGACTCCGTGACGGTTAAGCGGTGGCTGTCTTCAGCGTTGGAAGGAAACTGCAGGATAAAAGTCGCAGGGATGTCGGAACTGCTGGTCAGACGTCGCCTGGGTCTCTTCAAGGAGTTGGTGGATTCGTATTCGCTGCTGGTGACAATTCAGCTGGTAGAATCCAAGAAAAACAGAGCTGACATCCTCACAAGAGTGAGCAAGCGATGGCTGGTCAGAGAAAAGGACAAGGACGTGTGCGCGGCAAATGTCGAACTGCTACACGCGGAACACCATTTCGGAGTGGACAAGACGCTCTATCTGGGACAGCTGGTAGATCCTGAGCTGACGAGGGCAGAAGTTGAGCAATGTGTGCAGCGATGCGCCCCATGTCAGTCCATCGACCCATCACCAGTCACTCATGAGGGTGGAAGTCTAGCTGTCACAGACAACTGGTCACGTCTGGCAGTGGACACGACCCACTTCGGAAACCGCTGCTACATTACAGTAGTAGACTGCGGTCCAAGTAGACATGCGATTTGGAGGAAAATTCGATCAGAAAACGCAGAAGATGTGGCCACTGTGTTAGAGGAATTGTTCAGGGAACGAGGTCCGGTGGATGAACTTCTGTGTGACAACAGCACCACGTTCCGCTCTTACAAGCTAGCGGAACTGTGCCGCCAGTGGAACATCCGACAGAGATTCCGAGCAGCATATCGTCCATCTGGCAATGGCATTGTAGAGCGAAATCACAGGACAATCAAGCGCATGGCCTCGCGAGGTGGTATCACCCCACTCAAGGCAGTTTTCTGGTACAACCTGGCAGCAAAGGACGGAAGTGACCCGAGCACGGCACCAAGCGGGGGGATATTCACATATCGGTGGCGCCATC